ACAAATTTGTTCTTGAATTAGTTTTTCTGTTTCACGAGAAAGCAATAATGGAAGAGTCTTCCTTGATCCTGGCTAAATGTTTGGTTGTCTTGGAGCCTGCTAGGCCTTAGTCACATTTACGTGCCACGCTCTTCCTTTGACCCCTATCTTTTTTCATGTTCTTCATCCTAGAACTTAAAATGCTTTCTTTTGGGGTATTCCATCCTCCAGAAATTTTCAAATTCAAGATATGATATGTTCTTAAAAATAAACATGCTATAACACTCTTTTATAGCTTGTTGGTTTCTATTTTTCTCAGTTTCATAAAGAGCCCAGTGGTCCCTTGATCTGAAGGACTTATGAACCTAGTGAGGGTTTGTGATATTTAATTGTTGACAACTGACTTATAGATAATGGAGATTAACAGTACTTTGTTATCGTCAGTATATGGCTATCTGTTTTGCTTTGGTATTATGGTGAAAGCGTCATTCAAGACTGAACAACTGTTGTTAGGGGACCGTAGAAGTTCAGTTGCTGTGCTAGCAACAAAATGATATTATGTTGTCACATGAGTTCCATGTATACAATTTGCAGTTTTAATTAATATCCAGAACCTATGATCTATGTTGGAAGAGGATTTAATCATGTTTCTTCACTGATTGGCTCACCTTAACTGACCAAGTGAGTAAAACACGGTGGATCAGCTGGTTCATTAACTGTTTACCAACATAACTGAGGACTTACTCTTTTAGTTGATTGTTTGCTAACTGTTTAAGGAGCTATATCTACGACCTCAGTAGAGTTGTCAGATTTAGAATGTCTGCAACATCTTGATTTTTGATGCTGTCTGAGACGGTTTCTATTCTTTTATACAGATAGATGAAAATGTTCAAAGAGAGATAATTAACCATAGATCATTGAGGCACCCAAATATCATCAGGTTCAGAGAGGTAAGTTAATGTCTGAAGATATCGATTTACTTGCTTTTATGAATAAAAAATAGTTATTATTAACTTTCTTTACTACAAATCTTTCTAGGTTATTTTAACTCCAACCCATCTGGCTATTGTTATGGAATATGCTTCTGGTGGTGAGCTTTTTGAGCGTATTTGCAGTGCAGGACGCTTCAATGAAGATGAGGTTCTAGTGTACCTTATTTTTTGCTATTTCATTGTATTTTATCTGATCTTAAATCAGTCTTAACTCTATGCTTTTTTTCACTGTAGGCACGATTCTTCTTCCAGCAACTTATATCAGGTGTTAGCTACTGTCATTCAATGGTATGCTAAATAGAACTGTTCAAGAGTTTTCTATTATCTTTATCTCTTAGCTTATTTTTTTGTGGATTTCTTTATTATCAAGCAAGTATGTCATCGTGATCTGAAGCTGGAAAACACTTTATTAGATGGAAGTGCTGCTCCTCGTCTGAAGATATGTGATTTTGGATATTCCAAGGTATAAATTAGTATCGAGTTTCGATTTCTCAAACAAAAGACAATTTATACACCTGTCTATTCTGGAGCTCTAGTTTCTCAAACAAGAGACAATTCATACACCCGGCGGCACTCCTTTGCTCTCTTTTATCTTGTAACTTATGACAATTAAATTGCTTACATGTTGCATTTTCAGTCGTCAGTTTTGCATTCACAACCAAAGTCGACCGTTGGAACGCCTGCGTATATTGCTCCTGAAGTTCTACTCAAGAAGGAATATGATGGCAAGGTAAATTTTCTTGCAGTATTCCTTGTCGTGACAGTTCGTTTGTTTCATACCGAGAGTAGCAGTATAAATATGGCCAAGCATTTAAGTTGATCATGCATAAAACCTAGTGATGCATTATACCAATATCCAGTACAAGAATTTAATTAGCCGTAGAAACAATAGAAGTTCACCGTGAAACCATTGTGTATCGTGTCATCTGGTCTTGTGCGTGCGTGCGCGCGCCACTATACTTTTATATCCTACGATTTTGCGTGTGCCACTATACTTTTATATCCTACGATTTCATGTGCACTTAGATGTCCTGAGATGATTTACCTAGCATGTGCAATGCAGATTCAACCCTAAAACAACTATTGAGATAGTTGGCTTTTGTTAGATCATCCCATTTAGTGCAAAAATATGACATGTTTCCCATCACTTACTCTCTACCCACATTGGACTTGACTTTCAATTTTTCCACCAAAATTAGTTCATCTCTTGAAGTTCCTATGTACCTTGCTCTAACTCCCAAAGAGAACCTTAATAGGTACCCTTGCAAGAAAAATAGTTGTACAGGCTGCCATGTGTTTTATATTCTTCATCCTTGAAAAAATGTACTGGACAAATGGTTGGATGGCTGCATAGGTGGGTCAGGGAAGTAAGCAAATGAGGTTGAAGTGCCAGTTAATCATGGATGGTACTGCTTGAGCAGTCATGAAAGCATGGATCTGGTGGAATAGATAGTGTGATTACATACATGCAAGGAGAGAGACTTTCATGTATACATATCCCATAACTTCGTGTTCAACTTGATGCTTTCAACAGTCATTTACTGTTAAGATGATATTTTATGAGTTGAAAAGCCCTTTATATAGTGGCAAAAAAATGCAAGTCTTGCACTTATATTTAAGCAAAATATTTATCTGAAAGAAAAAAATATTCATCTCAAATCTATGTATAGAGGTGACCATAGTTCCAGTGACGAAACTGTAACATTTTTTATTAACTGTGTCTTGTGCTTCCTAATCTATGATGGTCATAAAGATATTTATGCAGTGTTTTTCTCTATGGTTTTGCTTTGTTCTACCTGCATCCTATATTGTAGAGTCGGTAATAATGAATGCAGTATTGCTTTGTTACATAATTTCTTGACTACTAGTCTTTGGTGTTGCGGGGTACTTGCATGTCTTTTACATAAATTTGTAACAAATACTTATAATCATATAACCTATTCACTTTATCTATTATCATCATTTATATAATTATTTTTGTATTGTTCTTCCTAACTTTTGTAAGACTTTTGTAGATTGCTGATGTATGGTCTTGTGGAGTTACTTTATATGTAATGCTAGTAGGCGCATATCCTTTTGAGGATCCAGAGGAGCCCAAAAATTTCCGAAAAACAATACAGGTAGTGGTTATTAGCACGTTATTGTATGAACATTGCATTATGTTATCTGATTTAATTACTTCCAGTTGCAGCATATATTGAGTGTTCAGTATTCAGTTGCAGACTGTGTTCGCATATCTCTGACTTAATTACTTCCTGTTGCAGCGTATATTGAGTGTTCAGTACTCGGTTCCAGACGGTGTTCACATATCTCTGGAATGTCAACACCTTATCTCAAGAATTTTTGTTGCCAATCCTGCCATGGTAAGCACTTAATGACTGTGAATTATTTTACAAGGACAAACCACAATTTAATGAGAAAGCAGTTTTTTGTTGCATTTTGAGGATAAATATAGGCGGTGACATCTTAGTGCTTTTTTTCTCATTAGTTGAACAACTTGTGATTTAGAATAAACAAACCTTATTATGATGTTAGAGGTTATATGCCTCTATGTAAAAGGGATTATTGATGTTGTCTCAAATGATCAGTACATGTAGTTGGGACCAATGATACAAGGATTTGAAGAATTAACAACCTTTGTAGGTAAGGTAAGAGGAAATCTATTCGTTGTGCAATTTTCAGGAAGTGTGGGAGTTGGTTTTTCCCTTCTTTTTCTTTTTTGCATGTCCCTGAAACATGAATAGATCTTTCCAATGTTGATCATTATTTTCTTCAAAGCAATATTATCATGACTGTGGTGCTGCATTTATCAACTTATGACTATTAAACAAAATTATTGTGAGCAAGAACTAATTTTCTGAGAAACATTTTTTTCTTGTTGAGGAGCATCGTATTTTGATGGTCGGTTCACTGTTCGTAGTTATATTCACCGAATGTGTTAATCTGCAGAGGATAACAATTCCTGAGATACGCAACCATGAGTGGTTCTTGAAGAATCTTCCTGCTGACCTAGTGGATGACAAGACGATAACTAATGAGTACGAGGAGCCTGACCAACCAATGCAAAAGATCGAGGACATAATGCACATCTTAGAGGAGGCCACCATACCTGCAGCCGGTGCTCGTGGACTCAATCAACACCTGATGGGTAGTCTCGATATTGATGACTACGATGACGACGACGATATGGAGGACCTGGACTCAGATCTTGATCTTGATATCGACAGTAGCGGGGAGATGGTTTATGCTATGTAAATTTGTGATGGAATAAAGACACCAAGCCAGAGTCTCAAGCCAAGTTAGGTAGCAAGATGTTTGATATGATTGTAAAACGGGTATCAAATCCCAGTTGTTGTCTTCCCTTGATGCTAGAAGGGTCGTGTATTAAAGTTCAAACATTGGTGATGTTTGCATAAAAACATGGTTGTTTATTGTCTATTAATGCGGATGTTTGCTGCTGCTTCAGTGGATTCAACCACTTGGTAATCTGCAGGACATGGTAAGGTGATGAGAAGCTATTTCTCTTTGGCTCAAAAAGTGCATTTTCACATTACACAAGACACATCTCAGAGTAAAAGAAAAGGATTGTAGTATCTCTCAGCCCTTCTGCTTGTGATTTCTTCTAATCTAATTAGATTCAACAATGCAAGATTGACCTGTGGCTCATATCTGTGAAGTTTTCAGTTCATCATCTTTCAGCATCAACCATTGCAAACTTCAGAGTGCTGTTGGGGCACAAAGTTCCATCATGAGAGCTAGTCTGTGTTTTCCATCTTTGTTGGTGTTACATAATGATGGTGGAGTCTCCTCCATGCAAATAATTCAAGAGATAAATCTTAACCTTTTCTAATTAGTCAGCACAAACCACCTCCCTACAGTCAGGAAGTTTGTACCCCTATACAATCTCCACAAGAAAAATACTCACAAAGGTACTTGACACTGTTGGTTCAAACAAAATTGTTGGGAGTTCATGATACCAGACAAGATTTGAATGCTACTCAATGGCAAAAGGATCCATATCAGCTGGCCTTTAGAAAGTAAACTATTACAGGTTGCTACTGACAGTGAAAATGAGCACAATGTTATGTTACATGAATTGCAGTGGAATTGTTTGGAGGATAGCAGCTGACAAGTAATAATAAGTGCAGCAACCAACATCAAGTTCGGTTGTGCACACTGCATATAACTGTAACACTAGTTGAAGAAAGCATGTGCCACTTAAACCAGCGAAGCATAATTTCCCCAGCAGCTGTTCATCAGAAGCAAAAGTCGCACTTATTCTTGCATTGACACAAGCAAAGAGACCATTTAAAGTTTCTCCAAATCTTTCGGTTAATGCATGAGCAGGTTCTCATACAACCCCTATCAAGAATCCTTCGTTTACCAACCATGCGGCGATCCTAATTCCTTCAGGTACCTGCAGACATTATAACATGTTTTAAGTGACCAATTCTATCAGGATGTAAATATAGTTTTCTGCAAGAGTTCAAACTTAATCCTTAGACTGAAGGCATGGATGCAACCTACAAAGTCAGAATTTAAATCTTCTTCACTCAAGGGGCAAACTCCTGTAAGAGATAATGTTTGCTAATTTCTGTCAACTATCGTATAAAACAAATACAAGATGTCAGTAGGTCCCATCTCACTGGTCAAAGATGAACTACCGTTGGTACATTTAGATAGATTCGTCTAGAATTTTCTCCATAGGAACATTCATGACAAACATAGATAAAGAGTCATAAAAATTTGAGTCCTCTGAATTCTGAAAAAGCTTTTGTTGTTTGACTATAACGGGGTTTGCCTAACTGTCAAAACACAGTGTTAATGAATCTGATTGATACAGATCAAGATTTTCTAAGCAATTAGCCATCATTTCTTCCTTCCTACCACTCATCTAGTTCTAGCCTCTTCCCATATCATTGCCATATTCTCCTACTATATTCTCTAAATTGGAGAAACTTGTGTACATATTTGCTTCTTTGTTTCTCAAAATTGTAGCATTATACATGAATTTTTTTGGTCTATGGATCTTCTGTCCAACGTTCACAGAAGTGTACAAACTTTTCAGCCTTACATTAGGCAATAGTATAAAAGGACTGGTTGGTAGATTTGCATCCAATATTTCTCTGAAACAGCCAAGACCGAAGTTTCAATGAACGAAAGATCAGCATATATCCCTAACAAAGTATTTAGAAAACGATGGTTATGAGCAACTACTCCAGAAAGGTGTGGCATAGCGATGCAACATGTTCATTCGGGAGATGTCATCTCAAAAGCGCGTCCGAGGGATATAAAAGGAAACTAGTAAAATTAATTCCAGTATAAGTGGATAAACCATAAAAGATGTCTATTATGTAATCAAACCATAACGAACTAATACAATGCATGAGAGAAGAATTAAGAAACCATCAAGTCAACATTTCACATTCAAAATGGAGTAAGAATACATGTATCCATATAAAAAGAACAGGCAACACTTAATGATCAGAGGGTAGTATTTGTTTTCTTCAAGTGATTTAATGATCAAATGGCAGTACTATTACTTAAAAGTTATTAGATGATCATCCAAGTTTTCTAAAATAGCTCTCCTGATCATCTACCGTGGGAAGATCAATTGGGAAAAGAGGAGACCTACATCGGCTTACACCGCGATTCCCACTGAACGACGCCATCTCTTCTGCATCAACCATCTTTTCCATTTTTCCCTATCAAATCTCAATTCCAATTTCCTCGTATCAACCAAAACTCAAAAGAGAGAAAACAAAAGAACGCAGAATAGAGAATCAAGAAAAATAGTTAAAACCCTAGTAATTAAACCAGAGATCTCATCATGCCATGATCATTATTGAGCCAAGAAAAAAGTTCCATCTTTTCACAAGAACTTGGCATACTTGACAGCGAGAGGACTAACTAGCGATCTTGACAAGTGCGACGGAAGGTACCCTGAGAGAGCTCACAGCACGCCCTCGCGCTGACCGACAGGTGGGAGGTGAGACGAGGGGCGGCCACCACGCTGTAAAGTGGAAGGAAGGACTGCGCGCACCCTAATTCTCCCAGAGATCTATGGAGAAATGAACGAACCACCGGGATCAAAAAAGAACCGGAAAAAGCGAAGACCTTTTGGCTAAAAGTTCTTACCGGGGAGGGGAGAGGGGGAGGCGGCGGCGCTGGAGGCGGGGGCCGGCGACGGGCGGACAGGGGAGTCGGCGAACCGCATGCGGCGATCGGGGGGAGTAGGACCGCGCGGCAGCGAGAAGCGATCCAGAGATCGATCCGCGCCACGCCATTTGGAGATAGAAGAACAGTAGCCGCGTCGAACGTTTAGGGTTTTCGAAAGGAGCGAGACGACGGGTGATCCAATCCAGGGTGCTTTAAGATTGCGGATGATATGATCCGATACGGGAAACATGAGCTTTGGACGATCCGGATCTGACTAGAGAGGCCTTATATTAATTTAATAGGCCTCAACCCGGAGTATGTGACCGATCCATGGGCCTCATGGGTCAAACCTCGACGACTAAGGCCCATTCATCGACAACACTCGAGGGTAATATGATGGAACGATCAACGGCCAACAACATCATTCACGGCGCTCGAGATTCCAACGCGCACGAATCATAAAGCGACAACATCGTTCTCATCCTACGTGAACGTCCTCCGTCAATCGGACTATGTGTCGCAGTTCGTCCTCTACACCTTGGAAAACGCATCTCGTTCCAATATCACTGTCTTTTCTGTCATCTCTCTTTGGAGGCCTTCAACACCACCGCATATATATTTCCATTTCCTGCAGGAGAAGCTTCGGATCGTCGCCATCTCCTTATATTACGATGCAGACAAAGATTCCCACACAGTATCTTCTGCCACAATCCCCTATAAGTAATGCGTTTCACCAGTAGAGGTTGATGGACACAAGATGTGACAACAAACAATTGATTGATTGTTACTTATAATTCTTTCAAACACAGATGCTCCCCATGTAAACAAAAGAACACAGAGATCACAATCTACAAGAGAAAAATCTTGAAAGGCAAGCTATCTTGCGGTTTCACAACGAAGTGCAGGACTCGGTTCATATCCATCCATGCCATATGGGTTGCCATACCTGTGGAAGGTGCAGCGACACCAACTCCATCCAAAGGCGACATCACAGCCACAAGAACAATATGCTCCTACAAATCGATTAATAATACTGATTCAACCTTCGAGGCGACAGATTGGCATGAACATGAACGCACGTTCCTTTGTTTCTAACCTTCAGCAAAGATGAGTATCTTTACAGTGTATTCCTTTCGTCTCTAGGGTGTATGACTTCTACGTAACATGTGGCTTTTGGGGGCTAAGTTTGAGGCAGGAAAATGGTGTGTGGCTCTCGTTCCTCGAAGAGAAAGGAAAAGGGTAGGGGGGGGGTGGAGTAAGAAAGGAGGCAAGCTTTTGAGCTCAATTATTGAGTGCTTCTGAGCTCGACGGACACGAGACTCGGTGGTCCTGTTGGAGTACTGAACTGAGAGAAAAAGGAGTGAGATCATTCCATTAGCTTGCTCTTGAGGAGTCGCAGGGATTGCCTCTTTAAAGTATTAGAGGAGAGAGATTACCACAGCCTGTGAATGTTGTAGAGAACAAGCTTCCATTTGTTTCTCACCCAAACAAACTATGTTTTACTTTGAGATTCTTGGGGACCAGACTTACCAAGAGATAAAAAGTTCAACGAGTGCAATATATGCTGGCATTGAACTCCAGTTCTGGTCACAGCTCTGCTGTTCGATGGCAGGTGTAGTGCTTCGATGGAGCTGCCAAAAGCTTCCATTGCATGGCAGGTGTAGTGCTTCTCCAAAGTATTCTTCAATGCGATTCAGGTCAAAAGCTCGATCTACGCCCCGTTCTAATCGGAACCAATCCAATAATTGCACTGTCTACATCAAGGAGAGAGATGGGAAAGTCTGTCATGATCAAAGTTATGCAGGGATTAGGGTTTCCCTGTGTCACGTGACATGGGCACGTGGGAGCAGCGTGGATCGCTGAGTGGGCGCCACGTGGTTCTCGAGGGGCTCGAGAATACATCCATGGACAGGAGGAGGGAATACCGGAGAAGGGGAAGACGGGGAAGGGACGACGACAAATGCTAGCCGTCGAGTGGTCGAACTTAGGGCCCAGATCGGCCCAGCTCCATGCACGTGGAGGCGCGGCTCCGGTGTCGCCGGGCATCCCAACCCGGCGTCGGCCGTGGCGAGCGACCTCCTCCTCTTCCCCTAATCCCACACGTACATGTGTCCAGCACAGGAATGGCATGCATTCAACGCGTGCGTGGGGGAGAGCTCCACTGCAGTATATATATATTAGTAATGAGTACATCTAGCTCAGGATGATGATATATGCCACAGGAATTTGCTGAACATGAAGAACTTGGAAGTCCTAATATACAGAGTTGTTTATGCACTGCCAACATCTGACGTGCCCGGTGGTGGTGTCTTCTTTGATTTACTTGTCTATTTACTGTTCACCTTGCTGGCAATCTTCCAATCGCTCCACCAGATTCCAACTCAGGAACCGCACCATCGGAGAGATAGTGGGCAAATTAGGTCACTATCTGTTGATGTCAAATGAACTGTTCTCCTGTTCTTCTCATATTCCAGGACATCTCTCTCTCTCTCTCTCTCACTCTCTCTCTCTCTCTCTCGCTCTCTCTCTTTCTTTATCCATCTCCATTTATACCTACAGCCATTCTTCCCTTCGTTTTCATGGAAGAGGAAAGAGATATTGCATTCTCTCTCTAGGCAATACACCTCTCTCTCTTTCTTCCTCTGGGTCAGTATCTTTCTTTTCGTGCGTAGCAATCTGGGAATCCTGCAATTATGGCTGCACCTCTTCCCGCGATGCTGCAGCATTTATTATTTGCCATTCTCCTATCTCCAGGCCTGCCTTCTCACTGTCTTGTTCTCTCTCTCTCTAGTTTCTTTGTTATATAGTCTTCGAACATTGTACCCCTGGAAATCATAACCCACTCATGACCTAATAATCACGGAAAAAAGCTTCTATTTATCCCAGTACTCCCACTCGATTTCCTTCGCATCCCTCACTCTACTCCACCACCTCTGGCTCTCTTTCCAGCCCTTCTTTCTTCCAAGAAGCTGCTCTTCATTTAGGAGTTAATTCTCAGCAGGGAAACTCTTTACATATTGCTGATCCCGATCTTCCACCTTCTGCCTCATCGAGCTCAAATGTCAACCATCTATCCTGATCTCTCACTCCACATCAGTCCACCATCGGTCTCCGTCGACGGAGCTTCGATGATGGGGGCTTTTGGGGGGGAGGCAGGTACGATCTCTGGTAGCAGCGAGGGCGACATGGGACACGATCAAGCCTTCTTGCAGAATGACCACGGCGGGGAGTTAAACCATGCTGAACCGAGGTTGAGCCTGGGGCTCCAGTCACCAGGGTCAAGTCTCAGCAATCACCATGAGAAGCTTCATCGTCCTCAGATCTGTGGATTTAAGCGGAGTTCGAGGTCGGCCCATGGAGGGAAGAGGAGCGTTAGGGCTCCGAGAATGAGGTGGACGTCCACCTTACACGCACATTTCGTTCATGCGGTGAAGCTCCTCGGCGGCCACGAGAGTGAGCATCCCAACTCCAGCTTTCACTATAGTAGACATTGTTCTTGTCATGCTCAAGAGTGATAACATCATCCTGCTCGAGTCATTTTGGCACGCAGGAGCGACGCCAAAATCAGTGTTGGAGCTGATGAACGTCAAGGATCTCACACTTGCTCATGTAAAGAGCCATCTGCAGGTACAGAACTAACCACAGAAAATAGCTGCTTGTCGATCTCATATTCCCTAAATTTCCTGCACAACTCCTGGTAATTCTAGTAGGATTAGGGTTTTGTGTTGGGTTCACGACATGCATCCAAGTGCAAAGGACAAACTGGCATCTATTGAAGTAATTAATCTTAGCATGGTGACCTTTTGGATCCTTCCTTTGGTTGCATTACATTAATAGTCTTCATGTGCATGTCGATGCAGATGTACAGAACAGTGAAGAGCACTGACAGAGGAGAGGCAGGTACATGGATATTCCTTCTCCATCACAGAAAGCCTCCTCCACCAAAATGTCTTTGGTGTTTGTTCTATAAGGGACGCCGATACCATCACCCGGCCATGGCTTGGCCTTTTCTTGCTTGATTTATTAGTCTGCTGTACCGAGAAGCACATCCATTTGGATCTCAGTGGTGGGTGAAATGGTTTGCAGGTCAAGGTCAGGCAGATATGGGCATTAGCCAGAGGACAGGGATGGAGGAAGTGGAGGGAGGACTGCCATGTGATAAAGCTGGGAGTGAGATCACTTCATCTTATCATTCCCTCAGCACACCAACCCCACCAACCACACAGGTCAAATCTCCTAGGTCAGTCTAATTCTTCCAGATGCTCCTTTCTGCATCAGTCTATTCACCTTCCCATTGAATGCCCATGCATGTGGTGGATACCATTTTGCCAGATTGAAATGGTGAATTGATGCTGCTTGAAACAAGTTAGAGATGAACTGGGGGTGTCATCTTGTTCCGTAGATCACTTAATAATGATTTGTCTCTGTAGTTATTAGTTGATAGATAGCTGTGGTCAAACCAAGTAGTCTTGATCCAGCTGTCCCTGTATTCTTTTACTGAGGTTGTGGTGATTTAAGGACAAAGGAACACAAGGGTTTCATGTGTTTGACCACTGGATTTGTGCCTACTGTTCTTGTCTTGCAGACATAGAGGTTGCTTCCAGGCATTTACTAGGTGTAATGGCATTGTTTAATTGTATAAGGCATTGTTCTTATAACCAGATCCAGAAAATGTTTGAATTTGAATGAATTAAGGGAAACCACTGGTTGATGAAAGCATCACTAGATCATGTGCTGTTGCCTAATCTCACCTTCTTGCCAACATAGTTATATGACTCAGTCCATGAAGAAGGAAAAGTTGCTCAAGGACTTTTGTCAGAAAATCCCTAAACAAGTAGCTTTTGTCAGACAAAAAATGAAAAAGGAAAAATGACTGCAGTAAGCAAAAAAGTGTATGATGCAACACAAAATCCTTAACATTTAGGTGATCTTGTCCCATGTAGGAACTCCAAGATGAAGAAGAGAAGGGTCCCAAGAATTGCTACAGAAGGGATAGAAAAGGTTATTGTGTCACACATCTGGTAATCCTTTCTAATTAGTCACCACTTACACTTGGGCCTAACATTGCCAAGGAAGTCACAAGTATTCAGCCTAGTTTTCTATCACTTGCTTATTATACTTGAGGTTTTATTCTTTTAGGCAGGACAACTTCATTTGGATAATTCTTGGAAGTGTTTGGACACACACATCTCCTCATTTTTCATGACATTATTGTTCTATCTTGCCTCTGATCCTTCAGAAGTATATATTTTGATTGCTATGTCTCACTTATTTCTTATTTATGAGGTCCTTAGGATGTCAGATTGCCCCTGTCCCATTTGGATTGAAGGTTCATGACTGTAGGCTACAAACAATGACAAAAGACAACCAAATCAGTTTGTAACTTTGTGAAAGGGTGATGTGGCTGGAACAGTGAGAACTGTGCAACACTGTTGCTGCTGAAACTGGATCTATATCTGTCCATAGCAACAAACATATATATCACATCTAATGTTGACACACCATATCATTTTGTTGCCCAATAAATTTCTGATTTCATTGTCCATCTTGTGTGCAGAGAGATGTATCCATCTGCAGAGAGGCATGCTTGGAACCCATCAATCAAACAAAATGGATTGGCATATCCCTTCTTCAGAAGTGATGATTTGCTAAGCAATGACTACCAGGTATGCAGACAACACTTCTGGTTCCCTTGTGCTGACATTGATGACACAAGAGGATAATTTAAGTTTCAAGGAAGACAATAAAACTTCTAAGTAGGAGCTGGATCTGATACTTATTTTACCTAGAGTTGCAGCACTCCTACAAATTTTCAGCTGATATAAAACCTTGAATTTGTAGTTTCAATGGATAGTATGAGAAGAAAGTATAAGGGTGAATTTAGATTGATGAAGCCATTGAATAGGACATGGATAATTATTGTGCCTGTCACTGCTTGCATCCTACATTTTAGTGGAATATCCTTGATCATCTTGATATATTTCTGTTTTCTGCTTTCTTCTTCCATCTCTTACAAGCATTTAACTCTATATATACACACACATACACTGAAAATGTTCAGTATATCTTACTGTTGTTAGAGGGGAAACTCAAGAAATAATGTACTTGAACTTGGTGGCATAGCTGGTTTCCTGGAGAAAGGTAGAGATTTCTATACATCATATTCTTCAGCACTAATTATGGGTCTATATTCATTCAAAACAAGCAATTTCATAATATATGGACAAATACACTATTTTTAAACACTTAAAGGATATCTAAAAGTGCTTTTTTTTCCTATTTTTGAAGAGTAAACAGAAAACAAGAATGTCTGCAAAAGAACAGACACCCAAAGTGTTATAGGATGAATTCCGATCATGTTTCACCACATATCTATCACTGATGCACCATTCATATTCTTTCTTTGATCCAACAAAAAAGATCTGACCTTTCTTCACCTGTGAGCAGGCACTGGTGGAAGATCAACCACAAGCACTTACCCAGTCACAGGAACAACGGCTAAACCTGGTGCCAAATTCCATTGGTGCTGCACATACCAAGATGCCTGACCTTGAAATCTCCTTAGGCAGCCATGACGCTTCTAAAATGCTTGTGAATTATATAGCTTGATCATTTAAAGAAATCTGGAAGAAAAAGGAGAAAGAGATCCTGATGGTACTGAGATAACTTGTTTTGGTTGTGTTCAAGTTTTGCTTGGAAGATGATGAACTCTCGCTGTCGAGAATCTGCAGGAGAGCCGAACACAACCGGTGAGTTATGTGCCTGTAAAGTCTGGTCTCTGGATAATTTAGGGTGTGACTGTGTAGATCATTCTGACAAGACTCTGAAACATTTCACATCTAAGTAGAAGAAATGTTCCTAAGATATTAAGAAAAAGATCTTTCCCGTTCAACTTCCAATCCAGCATTTATTTGATTAGTCCGCGGGCTTTAAGAACCATGGGATTAGTAGATCAAAAGGGTAAGGCAAGTTCTTGATTCAGTGGACAATTACTATGGGTATGTCATGGCTGCTGCTGCTGCCTCCTCGCATCATGCTTGAAGTCAAACCTCAGCAGCAGCAGCAGCAGAAGTCAACTCCTTCGAGCTTCATGTCAATAATAAAGTATAAGGAAAAGAAAATTGTAGGGGAATGAAAAGAAGGGAACATCCCGTTCAAGAGGCTTCTGCAGTCTCATTCAAGAAGTCCTCATCTTGTAATTTCTAGCAGAACAGGTAGTGAATTCGCCATGTAGAGCTTGATGGAGATATGCAGTGGGGAGCTCGGGGCGAACGCCACGACATCTTCTCTTCTCCTGGGAGTTCAGGCCTGAGTGTGGAGAAGGGCATAGTGACGAGAAAGGGAGAGAGGCTTCTCTTCTTAGCTTCCCAGTTCTAAGCCATGCCACGAAGAGCAAATTGTTGCAGCAATCATAAGATTGCTCTGTCTTTGAAACCACTCTGCCAATTCTTGTAGACTGCTTCAGCATTTAGAACAAGCATTTGAGACATGTATCAGCTTCAAAATATTCGGTATATATAATCTTCAATGATCTAACAACATCACTTGTAATCTTACACCTAAAAAGATTATGCTCGTGATGGAATACTTGCCTCATATTGAACGTATTAGCAATATGTTGGTCTAATAGGGGAAATATTTCTACCAACAAAGGCTCAGACATATGGTAGATAGTCAGCATGAGCAAGATAAGAGATAAATCCTATGACATATGGTAGAATATCCCGCAGGCTAAACCTACTATAAAATGACCACTAGGCCACAACAATCCAGGTAAGTAACTATTAACTACGATTACTTTACCTTTATTGGCTACTGAATTAAGCGTAAGAGAAATCTTTATGTATATCAACTACAAAGCATATACCCAAGAAATCACATCGAGAATATGATCCAATATCGATCTTTATATTTATCAACTACAAAATATATATCGGATTGTACCTCAGCCCCCAAGTGAGTATTGGAGCTATCCTATTGACCACATCAGACTTCTTATGCATATGAACCCAAACTGAGTTGACCTAATTCATACATTGCATACATCATCTCTATCATTTTAGCACTAGAAAGAGGTCCTATGTCACAAGAACATTATCTTGCTCACTTGCTTAAAGAGCACACTAGCAAGGGCGCGTCACCCCCAACTTATGGCATAATTGGCATAGCTCGAAGAATAATCGATATGACCCAAAGTGTGGCTAACACACCCCGAAGCATGGTTGAAATGGCCCAAAGTACTCCCTACGATCAGCACAACCTCAAAATAGCCCGAAGTAGTTTATATGAGGACAACATGATCAGCACAACCTAAAGCACTATCTACAACATTAGCATGGTTAGTACAACTCGAAATGTTATATATGATGTTAGTACAATCAACATAACCCGAAGACTATCAATAGTACGATCGACATAGCCTAAAGTACTTTCTTTTACAGTAGTATAGTAGTATAGCTGACACGTCTCGAAGCACTCATTTTAATAATAATATGATCGAAATGGCCTAAAGTGCTCCCTTCGATGATAGCATGACTAAAATAGTCCAAAGCATCCCAATATTTGATGTATCATTCACAGGCATAAGAGTCTCTTATGCGTGATGTATCCTCTATGGACAAAACAAAAATCCCAAGAACCAATGTATCTTTCGCACACATAAGCATCTTTAGCACATGATACATCCTTCATCAATGGGAGCATCTAAAGCATTCAACATGCCTGCGGATGAAAAGCAAATTGATGGCTAACACATTCTTTATAAGCATTGGCGTCTCTAACATAGAGCTCACTTTCTCAATATGGATAGGTCGACCAAGCGCCTATTGTGGGTAGCTTGATTGATGCCAAATGCAAGCAGACTGATCGATGTTCGATGTAGGCAAATCGATCAAGTGCCTAAGGTGGTCGGGTCAACCAACACTTAGTGACTTGGTTGACCAATGCCTGATGCTACTAGGTCGGTCAATGCCCAAGATGGCCATATTGACTAGCACTTGAGGTGACTAGGTTGGCTAACACCCAGTGCAGCTAGGTCAGCCAAAGCTCAAGGTGGCTAAGTCGGCCAATGCATGAGGTGGCTAGATCGATCAACGCTCAAGGTGGCCAAGTCGACCAAGCGGCATACATGACCAAATCAGTAAAGCACCCAATGTGATCAAGTTGACCAACACCTGAGGTACAAATTGGCTAAACAGTCATGGATAGATTGATTAGATTTTTGATATGGATAGGTCGACTGAAGCAATTAGGATGACGACTCCCTAAACACATCCATCTCTCTCTCTCTCTCTCTCTCTCAGCAGCAAAGCAGGAACATCGCATCCACTGCTAAATCTCTCCTAAAGCAACATAGCTGCAGAAGATAAAGATCCATTTCTGAATGAGCCGCAAGTTAATATTGCTGAAATCTCAATCAAAGAGGGGGAAGGATGGAAACAGAACGCCATCAAGGAACCGTGGGCATCAATTGCCGTCTCTTAACGGAGGCGACGGGCAAGCATGACGCTTCGGCGGCGCCCTCGGATTCGGGCGACAACCCCCACCTGGTTCCCATTGGTTTGGCAGCGCAGGAGAGTAGGTAGCTGCTGGTTTTGCTTCCTCCTCCTGGCCTCTGTTTGTGGCCGGACGGACACGCGGCAAGTCCGTCACTTGGTCTTGGAACGAAGCACACACAGAGACGAACACGTGGACGGATTTAGTTGGCTCCGCTGCTAAGTTATCAGGCTGAGCGCTTTGACCAACCCAAATCGGTCAAAGAGATGGACTCATCCAAAATCTCATGTCAACCCACAGCTAATTGAAGTTAACATCAGATAATTCCAATTTAAAAATATATAAATATATAATATTTAAAATGTCTCTAAATGTTTCAGTTAAGGTTTCAACTAATAGAGAATAACTACAGTGAACATACATGCATTTTTTTTTTTATATTTTACAATAATTTATATATGTCCAAATAAATTTAGTCGTAAAAATACGGAAATTACTTATTCTGCAGGCGCATATATATGCATGCAACATTCCGCAGGTCTTATGAAATTTTGCGTGTAGCTATCAATAGTTTAGTCCTGCCGGCTGTAAAAGTCGTGTTCGACGGATCTTGATGAAGACATGTGGAATCTGAATGTGGATGTGATCGAATGCAATGGGTACGTGATGAGGATTAGAAAGTGGGTAATCGCATCCTACAGTGCACGAATCTCAAAGCATTACTTGGCCGGAAGTAACAGATCCATCTGATTTGACTAACCTCTTAATCACACTCAATTCAGAGGTTAATTATAAATTATCTTTTATAATCAGTTACTTTTAATATTCCAATCTTTACCCTTCAAAATTTCTATTAAAATTTTTATACTTATAAAAGTGAAACATTAAAAAAAATAAATTTTATTGAAGCAACGAATATTATAGATAATATGTAATTAACCCTCAGGATAATCTAATTTTCTATTCACACTTGTTTTAAAAATATTTTAACTTGATTTTATCACATTAAATAATTTTAAATTAAAAAACAACGCAATATCATCCCAAATTGAAAAAAAAAAGTAATGTGTTTACTATTTTTGAATCTACTGAAATTAACTAATTATTATTTTTCACTTGAATTTATTTTAAATTTAATTAAAGAGTGTCTAAATCTGATTTAAAAGTATATTCAATCCACGTTTAACATTTCAAGTTCTGTAGCCATCTTTTCGTTTAAATTTATATTTAAATCCATAATTCATTAAAATCGATAAGCATTACACCAACCAACACATAGTTAGTTAGTTCATCTAATAGCAATTTAATTCATTCACGTGAGATCGTTCACTAATATCAATTTCATTCATGGGTGAATGCTTGTGAGGTCGTTTTCCAAAATTTAGTTCATCTAAGAGCAATTTTGGGTGGATGCATGTGGGATCGTTTTCCAAAATCCATAAAACAATTGAAGGCAAACCGATGAAGAGAAGAAATAGAGACGAGAAGAAGAAACCATGTCCTCCCGAACCTGGTTTTGCCCCACCCCAGCTCTATATGAACCCCACCTCCTCTCAGCCTCATCGGTATCTCCATTTCGCTGTCGCTGAAGCTTCAAGCAGCGTTTAGCCATGGCTTTCGTCGCCAAGAAGCCTCCCTCCTCCTCCGGCGACGAGAACCAGACCACGGAGGTGGCCCGAAGCCCCGTCAGCAACTCCCTCTACCTCAAGGGTCCGGACGCAGGAGGCGGCGCGGAGCGGCGGTCCCTCGACAAGGACGTCGTGCTCAGCAGGATCCGCCACCGGAAGCGCGTCAACCGGCTGGTGACCGTTCTCCAGTCCCACCTCCGTTCGCAACCGGCCATGGAGAAGGACGGTGAGCCCAGCAGATGGCTCGATGATGCCTTCTCTTGCCCTTGATGATGATGATGATGATGATGGCAGGACTCTCGATGGTGAGGAAGATGTGAGGGTAGCTCAAGAAAAGCTGCTGCTATCAAACTGCCATGCAAACGCAGATCTGCATGTGTCTCTCACAGTCTGACCTGATCACAATGTACTGAAACATACTGCAGCCTTTTATACTTTGATGCCTGTGGATAAGATTTGATGCTAAGTTATGCTTCTTGGAGATGCCTTATTTTGGTTTGCTTAAGTCAATATATACAATTCACTCGTCAGAGATAAAATACAGCATTATGGTTGAATCAGACAAATCCGTGGAGCATAGGATCGATGATAGTTCTTGTACTTTTCTTTTTTCTAGTGTGAGGGTTGAATCAGACAAATCCGTGGAGCAATAGTTTCGACAATGATTGTGAGGGTAATAATGATTCTTATGCACCCGTCTTTTCTTGCATGAGGATTGTGAGCAATAGCTCTAGCAAGGCTGAGAGAAAGGGAGACGATGCAAAATGCAGGGTGATGGTGAATATGATGTTAATAACGGAAGAAGGGTGATAGTACATGTTTTGGCCCTATGTGAACCATCGACAAATGTTGCAGATCGATGTAACATTGTATGCCTCTAGAACCGTGGGGTGCATATCACATCAAGTTCCAACGGTGTGATCGTGCGACCTGACCACCCCAAGAGCTAGGGGCGGTGTCGTTTACTGTTAGGGCAGTGCCATTTGATGCCGCTCAAGCACCCCCGAAGACGTCACCTTGTCGAAGAGATTGTTCCGCCCCCAGAGTCAATGGTCATGTCGGCCCGACCAATTTCCACACGCAGGTATAAATACCCCCGACCTGATCCAGGAAAAAGGGAGAGAGGGGGGGAGAAAAATCAATTGATCACTTCACTTATTTACTCGTCGGAGGGGCCTCATCGGGTGATCCCGACGAGGGCCATTTTTGCAGGAAAACACGATCATCTCATGAAGACGAGTTGCCAACCACCTCGGAGAAGGAGAGACGCAGCACAGCGTATATAGCGCCCAGATCAGCACACCAAGGAACGTTGATTAGCACCCCGTCGTGAGGGCCCGATCGACCTCGGCATCCAGCTCAACCGACAGAAGACTCCCGACATTGACCCGTGGACCAGGCCGTGCTGATTCATCAGCCACAGTATATTTGTTCACCGACAAAGGGTGAATGAGGTGTAATTTGGATAATTTTCTAGGATATCTAAAATAAAAGAGTAATTATTTAGAAAATATCTGAAATAAATATATTTTTAGAAAAAAAATACTATATATATATATAAAGTTGGATAAATTCTCAAAAATAAATTTCTAACTTCGAAAATTTTTTATAAAGCACTCTGGGATAGATGAAAATATTGTTTTCTCAAAATAGTTGAAATATTGTTAAAATATTTATTTTAAAAAAGTTATACGAGAATTTCTCAAAATAAAGTTGTAGATTCTTTTCGATACTTTTAGAAATACAGTATTAATATTAACATAATATAATATTGTAAAATCATGTTACATTTTATCCGATGAGGGTTTCGTGTAGTAGCAGTAGCAGGCCACAGTGGGTTTTTGGATTTCCCAGCGACCACCGCATCCGGAGGAGATGACGACGCGGCTACAGTCCGTTTGCTGCGTGCACCGCCGCCTTCTCCAACTCTCGCCTCCTTCCTCTACTCCTCCCTCCTGCCCCCGTCGCAGAAGCCTCTCCGGCCCTTCCGCCGTCGTAAGATCTCGTCCCCCCATCGCGACTCCGAGAATCCAAAACCCCCCCCTAAAACCCTAACCCCACATGCTCCTGACCCTTTTGGACTTTTTGGATGCAGCTTCCTCCTGTTAACCTTCGATGGTACGGCCGCAGTTTCCGCTTCCGGAACGCATCCACAGGTAAATTCTCTCTCCTCCGTCGACGGAATCTCAAAGAAAAATGACATCTCGATGTTGCTTCGGTTGATTTCTGAAAGGTCGATCGATTCTGCCGGGCAAGGTGTTAGCCTATTTGCCCGATTCAGAGAACTCCAACGGCGCGGTAAAAGAGGCGAATCCGTCCAGTGTTGATTCGAACGTTGGATCCTTGGTTAGCGCGAGGGATTTCGACGCGGTCCTCCGGTCTGGGTCTCACGCGAGGGGCAGCTTTGACCCCTTTCGTGGGAAGTCGGGTTCTGTGTCTTTCTGCGGATTGACTCACCAGATGGTGGAAGAGAGGAAGCTGGTTTCTTCCCCCTTCAAGGACAGCACAGGATCGCTCGTGTGGATTTTAGGTCCTCTAGCTCTGATATCTTCGCTCGTGGTTCCACAATTTTTTCTCGGCAACGTTATCGAGTCGGTTCTACGAGATGAGATCCTTGCAGGTACATATCGTTGTTCTTATCAAGAACTTACTACTTGATCAATTAAATTCTTTGGGCAGTGTTACAAGTATCAATTAAATTGAACGTTAGAAACCAATAAGATTAGAATTATTTCAACAAGAAAAAAAAAATCATGCTTAACTATGTCAATTTTAGTCTTTCCTAATGTATAAAGGCCACTTTGTTTTTGTTATTTTTTCCTGAAGAATATAACTATTTTTTGCAGAAATTGTCGCCTCATTGTCTTCAGAGGCCATATTCTATGTCGGGCTTGCTGCATTTCTGTCAGTAACTGATCATGTACAACGCCCATATCTTGACTTCAGCCCGAAAAGATGGAGCCTTATCACCGGCCTCAGAGGCTACCTGTCCTCGGCTTTCTTCACCATGGGTTTCAAGGTGTTTGCTCCTCTTCTTGCGGCCTATGTTGTTTGGCCAGTGATTGGTCTCCCTGCTGTGGTTGCCGTTGCTCCATTTCTGATGGGTTGTGCTGCACAATATGCATTTGAGACACACCTCGACAGACGTAATTCATCTTGTTGGCCTGTATTGCCAATAATCTTTGAGGTATCGGTTACGATCCTGTCTTGAAGTCCTTTTCCGATTCAAATTCTAGTACTTGGACTGATTTTATATTGCAGGTATATAGACTGTATCAGTTGAACAAGGGTGCACATTTTATAGAAAGGTTATTGTTTCTAATGAGAGGATCGTCTACGAACACTGCAGTAATGGAAAGAAGTAGCGCATTCATTTCCATGCTAGCCGTTCTCCAAATCCTTGGTGTTGTTTGCCTGTGGTCTTTAATGACTTTTCTTCTAAGACTTTTCCCTTCTAGACCTGTGGCAGAGAACTATTGAATGTAAGTGCCTTGCTTATTCGGCTATTAAAATTGTTTAACCTGCTAGTTAAGTTTTATAGATGCACAGTACCTTTGATATGCCAGATTCCTGAAAATGGAACTTAAACTAGCATAATATGCCCAAGAGTAATTGAAGATCTACATTAAAAAAGAAAAATTTGAAGTTCTGGTTGATATGAAGGTGGATGTTTTCTTTTATGAGACACAAATTAATTCTTGAGGAGCAACCGTTAGGTAAAAAGGCAAAAGACTCATAGCAGATGCATAACTCTTATAAAAAAAGTGATTTGGAGACCCATTTGAATCCTTATTGTATATTTTTTGCAGTCTCCAAACCAATAGGATATATTATACTGCTGATGGTACTATTATCTGTGCTAAAACACATGAAGTAACAGTTTATTGAGATGACATGTTGTGCCAGCTTTGTCAGCACAAGCATGTTCCCTCACGAGTTCTGGTTTGGCAATGCAGTCTCTCGAGCTTTTCTCAATTTGTCATGATAGTGCACATGAGCAGAGCAGCATGGTACCTGAGGAACTGGTGGTCCACTGGCATGACTCAAATTTAATAAAAGAACTTATTGCTTGTCTGATCTAGAAATTAAATTATCCTTGATTATTCCTGCAGTGTGATTGGTGACTTTGATGATGGATGATTGTGACGAAATAGAATCCACCTCTTTAAAAGCACTAACTGACAAAATTAGCTGGTGCCAAAATGGACAGTATGGGATTTGAAGGTAATCTGGTGCAGTTGTTATAATTATTGGTATATGCAGATAGATTGCTGATTGAGTGTTTTTAACAGCTGAGAAGTGTTGATATTCAATAGCAAGTCTCTTTTACATTTTCTTCAAGACAAATAAAAATTCATACGAAAGTAAATGTTGCATGATTTGGGCATGAAGGGTAGAAGAAGGTAATGTTTCAGACTAAGATTTCTGTTTGATGTAGGTATAATGTATGAAATCTGGGGACTGTGCATACCAGTTAACGAAAAAGGGAATTGGTAAATGGAAAATGCAAGTGTTAAGATGTGCGAACAGCAGGCCAGATCTATAATGATATTAGATGATTCAGAGATGTTTTCAAAAAGGTCGACTTGTTGGGTGGCCAACCCGGAGATTGAATTGTCCAAGATTTAAGACACAATCTCTGGGAAATAATCCATCAAGAGATTGGATACGATGAACATAGTTTTAAAGCTAAATTCATGAGCTTGCCTTGCCCATGGAAGTGGCCAACTTTTCCAGCCAGAATAAAAAATTGAATTTCTTTTGTTACTTTTGGATTAGTTTCATCATCCACTGAAGTGTCGTGATTTTAATGCTTGCTTAGCTGCAGTTTAAATGCCTATTTGTTATTTTGTATATATTTTTTCTTGGATAGAGTAAAGTGATAGATAGTAAATCATGGCACATTCTATTCCAGCTTGATTGATATGTTTTTGAAGTCATTGCAAAATTTAGATAATGTATACATACTATAGATGTGAGTCGTAACAGATGAGAAGATTAAATTTAACAAATCATTATTCACATTCTGTTCCTGGGAACAATTTGTTACAATGCAGATGAAATTTTTAGTTTTTTTTTCTTGTCTCAATAAGTGTATATCGAAACTTCCATAGGCCTTCAAATGCGTGCAGAATACAGACTAATGACACCACCAGCAAGCAAGTGAAGGCTATAAAGTATCCTGCATCATCTGTAACCGTGATGGGTTCAAATATTAGCATCCTTTGCCAAAAAGAAACATTTGAAATGAAGACAGAAAAAGCTGCAAAACTGCAACCCAAAGAGTACAGGCTCCCATGATTTCATGTATGAAACTTTTAACATTTGATATAGCTTTCTTATGTATCACTATATTGTATTTCTAGTCCATGGATAGCCAAGTCTAAATGTGTTCTTGTTTCTTTCAGTGTGAAATGTCCTTTGATAAATATAGATTAATGGGAAGTAATAGATGATAAAGCATTAATTGCTTTTTTATCACTCTGCCAATATTCTTTACCAAACTAACTTTTGTTATGTGAGTATGAATCAAGTCTTCCTACTTTAGAATGGTGCAAAATCTAAAAATGACACAGAATCTGAATGTGCACATGCATGCTATTCTGATATGCCAGTTGTTTTGAACTGTTCTCCATTCATGGCACTTAAACATGATATTTGAATATTTCTATCATCAAGTTGATTTCAAAAGTGTTAATTTGCATCGGGTTTTGATTTTAGTTGAATGGGACCTCTCGGAGATTGTCTGCATACTGTAATTACAAATCTTTGGTGCCGTGAACCTTCTGCATGGCTTTCAGGATTTTCAATGGTTGTGGAAAAGAATGGCTTCTTTCTGCGATATTACTTTCTTGCTATGTATAAGAGAATCCTTGTGCATACTATGTGTTGCTTTATTCCTCATGTGCATCATTTGTATGGATGCCATTTGTGGATGGTCTATGCACGACCACCTCTTATACTTCATGCTGTCTCCTTTTAGCTTATCAAATACATCTTTGCATGTTAACATCCATTTCACAATTTAAACCATTTCACAGAGTAGTAAAAAAAATTAAACCATTTCACAATTTTCGCATGTTATTCTTGCATAGGGGAGATTGAACTATTTTAACATGCATGCTTGTTAACGTCAACATTGTTTCATCATTCATCAATATGGGATTATATTAATTTTTTTAAATATTTTTATGAATTCTCATTTGTTTTTCAATTGTAAAGCTTTATACTTGTTAAGTGTCAACATCTTTGCATTATTTGTCTCCATGGTATTATTCGGCATAGTAGAAAAAAAATTAAAATTTCTCTAATAATGCTATATAGTACTATATTTCAACCATTTGAGACTATATTGCTGATGTTTTTTCTAATAATTTTGTGAGAGGTCTTATTTGTTTCTCAATTAGCAAGCTCTATGCATGCCTTTGTGAGATCATATTTTTCATTTAATTGAGAAGATTTATGCTTGTCAATAAACCTACTTACAAACAAGTATTCTCTATAGCAGTAGAAAATATTTTGATTATTTCGCGATTTGTGTGTTGTCATGAGGCCATGCTAATCTCTTTTGTATTGATCAAATTTTATTGGATGCCTCCAAAGAGATGTTAATATGCACACTTATTAACATCGATATCCTTCCATTATTCATCGATATGAGATTATATTTCAAATATTATTTTTAATAAATTTCTCATTTATTTTTCAATTGGAAAGCTCTATATTTACCATAAAACCTACTTACACAAGTATTTCATAGAGTAGTAAAAAAAATGGCACCTTTTCTTAATTTGTGTATGTCACCTTTACACAAAGACCATGCTAATTTCTTTAAGTATTATTTTAATTTTATAGTATGTCTTCCAAGAGATATTCATCCTTTATTATACCCTTTATTAATATCGATAATTTACACCACTATGTTTCAAATATTTTTCTAATGAGTTCCTCATTTGTTTTTGGATTGCAGAGCCACTATGCTTGCCACAAGATGATGAAGCATCACAAAGAAACATGATTATTCTTCTCTATTCTCCCAATATATATTTTTCCTCTTTAACATACACATTTATTGTTTTAAATATTTTTCATAATTATTTTTTGTGAGTTTCACATATGTTTTTCGATCTAAAAGCCTCTCTCTCTGCTTGTCCTAAAACATAGTTTCAATTGCAAATCTTCTTGCATTTTTAATTTCGGTGGATATATTAAATTATTGCCATAAAATTAAGTTGGATTAGAAGATATAATAGTTAGTGTTCTACTGGAGACTCTCAACAGGGTGATGAAACATCCCCCTCCCCAAAAAAAAGACAGCCTCCACAAAGAAAGCATTACCTTTCATTCTCTTTTGAACAGTTTTGTTTTGCCTGTTCAAAGAGCAACAACAATTCCACCATTCTTCAGTAGTGTCAGTTCACTATCATCTACTTGAGAATGAAATATGATAGGCTATGATGTGCAGCACACAGAACTGAACTGATGCCCAGATGCAGACTACTGTAGCAGACATCATCTGCCTCCAAAGCAAGTTTCCATAAGCAAAACACAGCAATGATGGCACAAAAAGTATTCTAGCATCTGATCTTCTTATTAATTTAACTAAAGATATTATTTTATATGAAATTAATGACTTGAAAAGATGTTTATAGTCGATCTTAAGTAATTAAGACATGATGATTTAAACATATAATGAGGAGCTCTCATAGAGAAAAAGATAAACTAGCAAATAAGAACTTAGACTTGATCAAAAAGTTATTAGTTTTTTACTGAATTCATGAAACTCAACTTCCTTCAAACAAAGAAAAAACATAAGAGGTGAGAAATGGAAAGGAAGATTACATAAACTAGTGGAGTAGAGTCAGGAAAAATATGTTGACACAAAGCTATAATTTACAGAAAGACTTATAAAGTGATAATGATGTTTAATATAGCTGGATTGGCAGCAAAATGATTGTATCATGTCAACAAATACAACATGGCTGCATCCCAGCAATCTGATCTTTAATCTCAAGCATATTCCTTCTCACAATGGAGGTTTCATGCAGCAGAAATACTTGCATAATTCCCACGACTTCTAATGTTTGATTCAAAGATAAGCAAATCACACTATTCATCATTAACTATGCATGCTGATTAACCCAGGATGGATTAGCTATGATACTTCACAACTTACCACTTATTAACCTACTTAAAAGTATTTCAAACTTAATGTGAGATGACCAAATCTATCTATTATAGCCACAAATATCACATGAAAAACAAACAATTGCTAAGAGAGACTTCATATGTGAGCCTGGAATATGATTTATATAGGAGTAAGCTTTTGTTTTGTATTGATATCCAAGTTTCATGTATGTGTTTCATAATACCATAGAAAAGGTCTTCTTGCCAGTGACAATTAATTATATTCACTTTTTTTTTTGTATTTTGTAAAAATCCTAAGAGAATTTTCATGTGGTAAAATATAAACTTATTTCATTGTTTCAATTAAAATTTTAGGAGATTTGGTATATCATTTTATCACATAGAGAATGAGAGGAGGAAGAAGAGATATACTTAAACAAGATTATGAGTGAAAAAAATCTTTTACTCAAGTAATTTAAGTTTAGGGTCTTAATTGGATAAACTTGAAGTTTAGGGATCTATTTGTAAATTTTCTTATTCATCATCACACAGGCATATAAAGAGTGCAGCGTGAAGTGCAAGCGGATTCCGGCAGCGAACGCGATGCGCACAGCACGGCGAGGCTTCCTCCAGAAGCAGCAGCATTTATGCTTCCTGCAAAGAATCAAAGATGGGTGTTTGGGGCCACCGCACCTTTTGATCCTTCCCTTGCAGACGCCGCACTCTAGTTCGCTACTCGAGAATCACTTTCCCAGCTCGATTCCGCTCTCCAGAAAACCTAGGAGGTGGCGGCATTTGTCTCCGTCGACGCAGGCAGAGGAGCTGGTAAGCTCAAAGCCGTAGAAAAGTAGTTCTCTTTGGACTCTTTGGACTGCCGAGTCCGACGTCGTCTTCCTCGCAAATCACTTTTTGTGTTGGGTTCTGACTCTGGTGATACGAAAAGGAAGGAGAAAAAACAAAAAAAGATTCGTCTTTCTTTTGACTTTGGTCGCTGATGAGATAATCAAGTTCACGACCATCTTTTGATCTTTTAGAATTACCTTGACCTAATGGAACAAAACAATTCCTTTTTGTTCCCTCTTGTGGAGAAGGGAATATGATACCGGATTGATTTGATCTGGGCATCAATTGCAACCCTTCCCGAGGTATGAATTGTACGAACAATGAGTTCTTGGGGTTTTAGCCAATTAACAAGTCGCCATTGTTTTTGAACTGCAAAGGTATTGTGAGCCTCAGTTAGATATCTCGCGTATTATTGTGGGTTTTTAGCCAATTAAGAAGTTGACATTTTCTTTGAACTGCAAAGGTGTCGTGAGCCTCAGCTAAATTTCTCGCGTATTATTGTGGATTTCAGTAGACCTTTAACCGGTCAGTGTGTGTTTTGCTCTGCTGGTATCGGAGTATCAGCTGCAGATTGTATGTTCTTGTTGTTGTTGGTCTTAGTTCTGCATGTTTAAAGGTTTCATCTTGCATAATATTGCATATTTTTGTCCTCCTACCGCAACTAACGAGCATTGCTCCTTACCATTAGGCATAATTTTAAGAGATGAGAGGCTTGTTGCTCAGAGAAATTTTCTGTAGTAAACTTATATTACGTTCCCTTTTTTGTCTTATGGGTATGTGACTATGAATCAGGATCTTCTGTTTTTCGTTTTATGCATACATGAGTTTGAATCAAGGCCTTTATCACCTGAAGATTCAACCTTTTTGTTTTGTGGAAATGTTCTACATATCAAAATTCTGATGATAATTTATCATTTTGCGTATAGATTTAACTTTTTTGTTTTCTAAGTCTTGCATACTTTGTGCAGGCAGAATCTACTAGCGATAATTACATCTGGCTCGATGATCTGGTTAAACAAACTCTTTAAAGGTTCAAATTTGAAATTTTCCGCTGGCCAGTGCCATGGAAGACATGCGGATGATGGCTTTTGGAATAAACCCTCTAGTTCATTGGTAACCCTTTTGCTAAAACTTTCTGCCTTTGTCCTCTATAGGATCTCTCTTTAATGCAATCTAAATGTTTTCTTTGGAATAAAATTTTTAATGCTGTCAATGACAAAATTTGTTTCTAAATAATCTAGGTTGTAATTGCAATCTTACACGGTGCATTTATTATGTACTTAATATTTATTTTCTTCCACATCCCCATGCCTAAATAATCTGAGTAGGCTACTATTCCTGTATCTTTGATTGCTAATCACACCTCAGGAAATTCTGGATGTTAGGGTATCCAGCGGGAGTATGATGACGAAGACATTGATCAAGCTCTAGCACTTTCACTATCAGAAGAAGAGCAGAAGAAAGGCAAAACTGTTGGTTAGCACTCTGGCACTGCTATAGAAAATGAGCTGTTCATTTGCATTTCTTGTGTGAGCTAATTGTTTCAAATGGCTTATGGATGTAATGCAAAGACAACTAGATTGTTGTTGAAGATCTGATCATTATAAAAGCTCTTGGATTTTATTGAACTTTCCTAGACTTAACATTTTAAAGCATTTTTCTGTTTATTTTTATCTTTGAGAAGAGCAGATATGCTACTTACTGATTTATAAAGGGGAAATGACATCCAGATGTTGAAGACATGACAAACTCTGTGGAAAATAAGAAATAACATATAAATGATTTGCTTGGGGGATAGGAAGGAAATGAGAAGAATAATATCAAACTTAGTGCCCTTTTGTCAACAAAGAGCACAGGATGGCTAGCCAGTGACAGAAGTGATAACAGTGAAGCTCATAATTTATTAACCACTATGGTTTACAACCGAGGGACCTTTCTTTCTTTTTCTTTTGTGGAGCAACTGTTGGTTTTTTGTAAAAAGGAACTTCCAGTTGTGGGACTTCATCAGAAACATAACTGCCGCTATCTTAACTGTAACATTCTAAAAAATTAGCTCATCTGCAATGTCTTTGTTTTTAGATATTTATGCATATGCTACTGAGGCAGTCAGGGAATTGAGAAACTTAGCAACAAAAAAATATGTTCAACAAGCTTGCATGGTAATCTTAGTATATCACATTCCCATATGGATTTTCTGCTTGTCAGAAGGCCTTTAATTATGTATTCTCTAGTTAGGACCCTATGGTTTACATTACTATTGTCTCCACAAACTGATCTGCTGAAAACCATCTTTGTTAGTAATTAAATTTATTATAAAGCCTATTCAACCATCGCTGTCTGATTAACTCACTTCATGGATTCAGATGGTTCTTCTCTATGATCTACTTTATGTTATATCTCTTTCATTCCTACCTTTCTGCCAATAGCATGACTTAGTGCACTTTATAACCCTCTTAGCTTCAGAACATGGAAGTTGCCTCAGGTCTTCATATAATCTTTTTCTTCTTTTTATAATTATATTATTTTCTTTAAAACATCATATGTTTCTTTTCTTTAGACAAATCTCTTCTGGAGGAAGACGAACAGCTTGCAAAGGCTTTACAAGAAAGTTTGAATGCTGAATATCCACCCCGTCAAAATGGCCAAATTTGTCAACCTAATCCATTTTCCTTTCCTTCAGTCTCCAGGTACTTGTTTTAGAATTATTTGCCTATTTGTCATTTCATTTCATTTCTCTTATGTTATCATTAGTTCCATAATAAATCATGACAAAGAATGATGAGTTCAACCAGGTATCATTAGTTATCAGTTTGTCTTGAAGAATTGAAGGGAAGCTTTTGTTTTTGAGATATCTGCGATAGGCTTTCTATTTATTTTGAACCTTGGAAAGATCAAGATCTGTATTTGGATCAAGTTCTTTATTAGAAGATATCATCTGTTAAGAGTTTGAAAATTATCTGCTTTATCAGTTTGATTTGAAAGATCCCACATTCCTGTTTAAGGTGGTCTCAGACAACTAATACCTAGGGGGTTAACCTTTTCTTCCCCATCCATAATCTCTTGGCAAGCAATCCCTGAAGGTTTCTCTCCACGGTGTGTAGAGAAACAGCTGCTGCAAGGAACCAAGGATCGACACACCATAGTATGTGTAGTCATGAGGCAGCATGCTGCACTATGCAACATTGCATTATTGTTCTGAATTCATGGACATGGACATTAGACATTGTTAAAGAAATGGCAGTGTGAGACCATTTATGTCAGTGGCAGACACAATATACAGGCTGGCAGCAGCCCATGTAGCTCAAATTACTTGTCATATGGGTAAACATTAGTACAAACTACCAGTGTCGTATGATCATGTTGCAATCCCATATGTCACCAACTTGACCATCTTTTAAGAAATTAACTTCATATTGTAGGCAAAAATTTTAAGGGTTCTGTAATATTCTCTTAAATAATCTATTGTGTATTCAGTTCTCAGTATCCATCCATTCTGGATCAGATCCTGCAGCTTAAGATCAGTAGAGGAAAGCTAGGTGCTTCATTTTTTTGAGAAATCGTAACTTTATATTTTAAGATGCATAACTAACTTCCTTGATCTTATATCTGGTTAGGAGATGTGCTGGATGCAATAAAGAAGTTGGTCGTGGTCAATCTTTGAGTACCATGGGTGCTGTATGGCATCCAGAGTGTCTCCGTTGCCATGGGTGCAATAAACCAATAACTGACTATGAGGTGAAGAATTGACTGTCATTGTTGTCATTTTTGGGTTCTGTTAAATCTCATTGGCTTGTCTGATGCAGTTATCTTTGTACGAAAATCGTCCTTATCACAAATCTTGCTATAGGAAACTCTACCACCCAAAATGTGCTGTCTGCAAGCAGTATGTAAGTATTTATTTCTATATTTCTACTGAAAACAGCACTCTTAGTGAGTATATGCAATTTATCTATATGAAACAATAACAAAAAAAACTATCGTATTAGATGCATATAATATTTCGACTGACTTGCGATGATTGTCATGGAAAGAACAACACTATAAAACTATATGGAATAGGGGTTATATTCAACTATGAGAAACGAGAGATCATGTATGCATCTAAGAGACATATATGCAGAAGCAGTTGAAAATATCCAAGTGTTCTATAAGCGAGTTGTTTTTATTTATTGTATGGCATACCTAATACATGAGGCTCCTGCCAATATAGGATCCGGGGAGAATCAATGTAAGTAGTCTTATTTCTCAAACTAGTCTCCCAGGTTGCAAAGAAGCAACTTTACGATTGTACCAAGGCTCACTCTAACAAAGGAACAAAACAATCTCACCATTGTACCAAGGCCCGCCCTTTTGTTATTGTTTATTGTTGGCCTTTTAGTTATTGGCTGCTTATTTCTTGAAGGCGTGACCGGTGAGTAAAGCATATGGATGATTTCCATTGCATGTATATATAGTTCTATTTTTTATTGCTTTCATGAAAATAAACTGTTATCTTAATTCTTAAGGGTACCGAAGGCTCCTCAAATTACTTTGAAAAACCTTCATCTCTTTTAAGTGGCTAGATTTCTTAGGAAAAAAATAACAAAAATTAATTAGCTACCTGCTCCCTGATTTTGGTAGATGGCATTTATAACCAAGTATTTTAGACACTTCTATGAAGCTTTGTGCTTACACCAATTTGACGATACCAGAAATATTTTTAACCTTCTTTCCATGTACAGAAGTAATCTGTAGTCATGGTAGCATAACAATTGTGAAAATCACATATTACAACTCTTGGGTTCTAAGTTTCATACTTGTACATACTACATAGTCCACACACAGTTTTTTGATATAAGTCAGCACCTGACTGTTATGCAAGCCTAAAATAATTCAACCAGTTTAACTTTGTTCATGTTATTTATGTCCTTAACTGGAACCTTCTCCCCTGAATCTCTGAAATGTGGATACATCATAATGACCTTTTCTGCAGATCCCTGCGATAAGAGATGGCCATATCGAATACCGGGCTCATCCTTTTTGGGGGCAAAGGTATTGTCCTTTACATGAGCGTGATGGCACTCCTATGTGCTGCAGTTGTGAAAGAATGGAGGTTGGTAAAAGATACTCGCTCCATAATTTCTCTGCATTTTACAATAGTTATTGTCGATCCAAAATTAGTTGTATCGTGAAGCATAATACTATTAAAAGACTACCAAGGTCGATTCTGCTATTGTTTATTTATGTTCAAGTGCCTTATATTGTATGCTTAGTTGTGCTCTTTCTCTTTGTCTTTTACTTATGCCGAGCTTCAGCCAAGGGACACGAAATATGTTACTTTGGATGATGGTCGGAAGCTTTGTCTTGAGTGTCTTAATTTTGCAATAATGGACACAAGTGAGTGCCAACCCCTTTACCTCGGCATAAAAGAATTCTATGAAGGTTTATATATGAAAGTGGAACAGCAGATTCCGCTCCTTCTAGTTGAGCGACAAGCTCTAAATGAAGCTATGGATGGTGAAATGAATGTAAGTCAAAGAATAAAACTTTGGAGTTAAACAGCATGCACTTTGTTCCTTTAGAATTTTGGTAATAACAGTCTTTTCATATACTTCTGAGGACAGGGGCATCATCGCCTCCCTGAAACTAGAGGTCTCTGTCTTTCTGAGGAGAAGATTGTTAGAACTGTAAGAGTTCTCAGTTTTAGAACTGTTATTCTCAGTTTGCTAGTGGTTTTATGAGTGAATTATGTTAATATTTTTATTGAATGTCATAATCACTGGTGAAAATACAATCATTAGGTTTTGAGAAGGCCAATAATGGGGTCTGGACACAGACTTACAGATATGATAACAGGGCCATATAGATTGATCAGACGGTGTGATGTCACAGCAATTCTTATACTGTATGGTCTACCAAGGTATCTTTCGATTTATTTTCCACTATCCAATCTACTTTTGTTAGCTTAGATGCCTTCCCTGCTAGCATTTTCTTAAGATTCTGTCACTTTTCAGCTAAATTATCCTAGCTACACATTCAACTCTGATTCTTTTCTTTTTTCCAGATTCTAAGACAAAAAAAAGATATTCTTGTCAAATATATTCTCCTTGGAAAAAATGGTGTTAAGTTTCTATTTATTTAGTATCACACTAGCAAAACTAGTAAATTATTGCATCTTCCCATGCAAACTTTGCTTTAATATTTGAGTTCTCTCTTGCAGATTACTAACAGGGTCGATATTGGCTCATGAGATGATGCATGCATGGCTACGCCTTAATGGTATGCAACTCATTCTATGCTCACAGATGTGTTTTTGTTGTGTACAGTTTGCTTTTTTTTATAATTTTGGCAACTCATGCTAGCATTGTAAGTATGATTCCATATATTAATGGAGCACGAGAATAGGACAATGTAGCAACGCTATGTAAACAATGACCAAAAGGATTATACTTCATCATCAGTGGGTTGCTAGTCTTACTTGTCCAATGAAAAGCTAGCCTTAACACGCTTATTTGTTAGATTATATGATCCTGTTTAATTAGATAAGATATATTATAGATCTCATTGGATTTTGATTACAGTTATCGGCTAATAGAAAGGAAGTCCAATTATAATAGGATTTCTTAGGAGATGACCTTGATGAGAGGAACTTTCCTAATTACTTATCCTAGACCCTTTGCTCTCGCCTATATATAGATAGGGTCTTCTAGGGACTCAACACATGACAACACATAAAAGAGAGATTACATATCTTTTCTCATCTCCCCTTAATCTCTATTGCATCACTTATAGTGTTCTTGTGAAAAAATAGGAAGAAAGAAGAAGGTGAGTTTAGTTCTTACAAATTGGAATCACTGTAGCTTTTGGATCGGATGATGATGCGTTTGCAGATCAGATAAAGGTTTTCTGAATGACATCGAAATGTACGTACATCTAAATTTCGATCTATGGTTATTTGATTTCAGTTCTTCATATTAAAATTTTTTCACATAACAGAAGCATGATTACAATTTTTATCTTACAATTGGTATCAAAGCAAGTTGTTTTGAAATCAAATACCTTAGATCATAAACGTATATTAGATCTATTTATTAGCACCTTTCGCTTGCGGAAAAGGTGCTATTCAATTTTGATTGTACGATGCTTGAATGATCCGTCTGTGTTATTGATTCGCTTTCTTATCTCGTTCGTCTTGTCGCTTGCTTGCAGGCGTTGCAAGGTTCCTCGCCTTACGCAGGTAGAGCTAGGGACGACATGTTGCTCGTGTTTGATCGGTCAATCGTCGTTGCAGCTTGTCAGCGATAGCACTATTAAGGGCGACGACCTCCATTGGTCGTCGGCCATAGACTGGATGGGCAACTGCTGCAGTCAGAAACTACTATGTGCAGCAGCCGTGGCAGTGGAAGTGCTGCGACGATGCCATTACGTGCGACAGTTGCCACCGTGGGCAACAGCAGCCTTGGTTGGCATCGCTGTTGCCTGTGGGGGTAGGATTTAGCTGCAGGCGGCACTACACATGTAGTGGTGCCATTGTGTGAGGTAGTCCAAGAAGGCAGCAGCCCTATTGGGCGCTGCCTTTAATCGATAACTGCATAGCAAACATGTCGTTGGGAAAGGCAGAAGCTATGACAATGTTTGTTAGCTACGGCCAGCATCATTGGCAACGATGAAGGTCGGGGTTCATAGCGGCTACGTAGGGGCCATTGGTTGAGCGTGAACACCGGCGCTACTGATGTGGGTCGCCCAATGGTTGCGTGGTGGCCAAATGCTGTGTAGCAACGACGGATGGTGACCCTGCGAAGAAGATGTCGTTGTAAGGATGCACGACCAATAAGGACTCGTGCGGTGGTGATATTCGTGCGTGGGAATGGAACGTCGATGAGGGATTAGCTGTGAACGGTGGTCGATGGGCAACGGCTACGTTGCGTCACTGAATAGCGTTGGTTGCCATTAAAGATCGATTGACCGTGGAGGTGTTCAAGCATGTGGCATGCAGCAGTAGACGACTGTGCACCGTGACGGTCATAGGCCTTGCGCAGGCCAGGCTACGAGTTTTTTCACCTATTAAAAGATTATTTTACTCTTTTGAATTTTTTTTAATTCTAGTCAGTGTCCCCGTGACAGTTCTACCCTTCAAAAATCAAATATTTTTAATATATATCCCAACAAATTATAGTTTTGCCCTTCGAAAATAATTTTTTTTACTTATATCCTTAATTATAGAATTGACCAATTTGATCTACTTTAATCAAATTTTGGTCGAAGCCTAATTTTAGCTTGATTTTTTATCAATCAGTTTCTACATTGGATTTTTTTGACTGAACCCAATTTTGATTGGTTTAATTGGGTTGGATGTTGGGTCTAATCTGAGCAGTCCAATTTTGACTTAATTTTGGGATGTCCAATTAAATATGATTCATCGACTCATTTATGTCATTTACAGAATTAAAAAAAAACTTATAAATTACGGTTTTATTTTGTAGTTTTCTTTTATGACATATTAGTAAAATTTTTGCTTATGATATTTAAATTCCAATTTTTGTTCTTGGATATTTGTGTAATTATTTACATGCATACATTTAAAATTATGAAATAATATTTGTTTTTACATAAATACGTGATTTATGTTTTATCATGATTATAGTCATCTTGAGTATTTTTATACTAATTAATATTGAATAATTATTAATATTATTATTTTATTATTAATGAACTGTTTTTGTATAAATTAGATTAAATAATATTTGATAAAATTATTTGCAACTTATATCCTTAAGTTCAATTTAACTCGTAGTTGCCAAAGTGGTATAGAATGATAGATTTATCAGATATGAATTATGATAAATGCTTTATCATTTGTAGAACATTTTCAATTATATGTTATATTATTGTCATCTGAATATCTACACAATAGCAGAATTACTAAAATTAGGATAGAGAAACAGTAGCCATTACAAATTATTTGTGATCTGTCTTGGTTTTCTTGTTCCGTCAATCTTCACTAGCTGCATACTACCTCCAGTGTCAATCTTGGGTGATTCATGAGGTTATATCGATAGATATTATTGTAGCGCCTGATGTTACTCCATCCTGAGTTTGCAGGATATGGATCTCTCAGTCTAGAAGTTGAAGAAGGCATCTGCCAGGTGCTGGCTCAAATGTGGTTGGATTCTGAGATTGTTGCAGGTTCAGCTAGTAATGTTGCCTCCACCTCATCATCCTCTTCGACTACCAGGCCGTCGAAAAAAGGTGCTCGAACTCAGTCCGAGAGAAAGCTGGGAGAGTGTTTCAAACACGAAATAGAAGCGGATGCTTCGCCGGTATATGGAGCTGGTTATAGAGCAGCAACCAGAGCAGTCAATCGGTATGGTCTCAGACGTACTCTCGACCATATCAAATTCACAGGAAGCTTTCCATATTGAAGGAACCCATTTTGCTGGGTAATAATCTCTCTTTTTGCTGCTATTGAATTCTATAGCTGAAGCTACATGTGATCAAAGGAAAAGAATGTGATGACATAAAAGAAAAATAAAGGCAAAGGATAAAGAACTCTCTCTTTTTGTAATCTGGAGCCTTTGAAGGATAGAGAACTCTCTCTTTGGAGAGTTGCTTTCAATAATAGTGTTCTAAATCATATAAGTTAGCTACTGTCGCTAAATTGAGGTTTCTATCTGCTCAAGTTGTGTGTGCAAGTATGACAGAATCATGTTTGCTCAAAAGACATGCCATGATCATGGCTCTTCTACTTTTCCATCTTGAAGAATTCACCACTTGTATAACTTTATTCCATTAGAGGATCGACAGTTTTTAGCAGGGGAAGAACACTGCCAAACTCATGAACCAAGAGTTTTGATGTAGTCGATCCAATGTTTTCGATTATTCAATTTCCGAGGTATATATAACGATTATTTTGAAAAAAGATATGAGGAAAAAAAGAGAAAAATTAAGCTTAATTTCTATGCTGTGTCAGCATCTCCTGAGCAGGCTGTCATGTACTCATAATGTAATAATTATCCCTTAATAAGACGTCATTAAGACTGTCTCGTGGTTATGCTTGACTTGGCCATCGGGCGCATCTGAGCCCTTCTTAGACGATTGTACGAATCTCAACGCGCCAACTTCATCCTGACGTCAGCATCAAACTCGGCGTGGGTTCACCCACCGCCTCCACCACGGCGTACTCCATGGCCTATATCCGTGGGACCCGCTTCTCTGTCCCCTCTCCCCCTTGCTATTATTTCCCGCGGATGGAGCCCGCAAGTGGATCCCACGCTGCGTGGACCTCTCGTTGGCTCCTCGGCCACGCCGCGCATAAAACTCGGCCCTCGTGCGTTCGAGCTGCTCACAGATGACACGCGAACGAGGTAGGGAAACGGGTAACGGGTAAACGGGTTACCATAATGTTTTTTAATTTGTGAAACTATATCCTACAATAATTAGTCCTTTTTTTTAAAAGAAATAATTAGTCATTTTGAGGTAATTAACATTGAATTTTAAGTAAGTCATTTTGAGGTAATTAACATTTTGAGGTAATTAGTCATTTTGAGGTAATTAACATTGAATTTTAAGTAAGCAACTTATGTACTAAAAAAAATATAGTTTCATGGGTTGAGACATTTCAAAAGCTTAATTTTAGATCCAATGCCAGCCTCTGGTGGAGAAGATAGTTATCATTCTCTCACAACAGCCATAGATTTTTTTTTTCTTTCTATTTTCATTTTTTTGAGGTTCTACACCTCTACTCATGTCTTTTTCAAAGTTCAGAAATAATATATTTGTCCTAAAAAAAATTATGCATAATTATCCCTTCAAATATTAAGATGTTAATCACTATCATAGTAGTTAGTTTGAGTTTGAAAGACAAAAACACAAAATATCTAAACCTTTTAACATTCTTGTCATCACAGAAAAGTCTTGAGGAGTGCATAGATGATGTCAATTAGTTGACATGACTATCTACAAAGGCAAATTCATAATTGTTTTAGTTTTGTAAGTATATATAAAACTTTTGTAACCATAAGTGCATAGACCAATTTATTTATATTTTGTCTTTGAGAAATCAAAAGTTGTTTCCTTTCCTTTTGATGCAGTTGCTTTATGGTGAAGTTGTTCTTTTTGCTCCCAATAAATGTAGTGTTCCCTTTTCCTCCTCCTTTTTAACTTTGTTATTTACTTCTGTTGCTTGTGTCATAAAGTAGTAGTTTGCTGCAGAGGGAGATCAAATTGCCTTTGAAGTCAGAAGTTACATGAGATGGGGGTCAGAATAAAGTCTCTCCCTTTTTTTTTCATGCTTTTAATCCTCAGCAAAGACTGTAAAGAAAAGAGTTAAAAGGCTGCAGATCTTAACAGCAGTCAAGTCCTTCTTAATTATATACACTCCTTGATTTCTGCAAGTTCAACACTTGCAAGAAGACATCTTGATGTAATCTTTGAATTCAAGAAGTAATCCTGGTTTCCTTCTCCACCCCCATTGTCTTTCCTCAATAAAAGGACATTCAAGAATCATGTGCACTGAGGAAATAATTCTTTTATATTTTATGATATATATATATATTCCTAAATGGATTCCTGGTAATGTACAGGGAGTTGCATGTCAGCTCTAATTCCATGTGTCTGCTAAATGATTAAAAGAAAACAATAGCTACATGGTGGCATAGCCCACCCAGATGTTCTTGAGGGGGCAAAGCAATCAGCTTAGCAGCATTAATTAGCAAGGACTTGCTTTGATGAACAGTTTATGTGGATTTGTGATGGTCTGCTGGTGGTGGACATGATGCCAAACAGAAAATAAGCCTCATATCAGAGTGCAAGACTTGCATCAATCAAGAGATAACATGATTCAAGGGAGTCAATCTAACAAAGAAATCTTTCACAACTCTCATCATCATTGACTTTGTCAGGAGTGCAGATTTAAGGTATATTTAATTGGTTGATCTGTTGGCCACTTTAGGAGATGGTGTTCCATCCCAAGCAGTTGTTCTCTTTAGCTTTTTTCATCACCTTTTCATGTACATGTGTCACTATTACTGTAGCTAAGACTAAGTATATTTAAAGAGAGGTGGGAGTGATTGTTCGCGGGAAAAGGTGCAGATGTTCTTGGACTCGAGGTTGAAAGGTAGAAACAGTGTTTGGACTCTGGGGAAGAAGAAGAAGATGGCTTTGAAACCCTGAAGACTTCCTCTTCCATAATGGTAGACACAACCCACCCACCCATGACATGCGTCGTACTGCTTTGAGAGTAGAAGCCAAGCCACCATTACCACCAGACACAAATCCCAACAACAAATCAGTTCAATCTTTTCTACTGCCACTCCCTCTTGTCATGGACACATGGTTGCTCCTACTACCCAACAACCAAGTGGGGACGACTGGATACTTGCCAAAACTCTCTTTTGGCCAGGTTTTGGGCATTTGGTCATTGCATGTTTCATCAGAGCATCAGCCTTCCAATCACCGCCTGTGAGCTGGTTTTCAGTGCAGAGAATGATGTTTTTGTTTCAGGGCTCAGTGCGGAATGTCCAGATTAAAGGCTTGTGACTCCTTCCTTCCGGGTTTGGCTGGGTTCTTACTTCGCATACATTTGCAGGGAATGGGCATCTGCTTCTTCTTCTTCTTCTTCTCCATCCATCTTCGTCTTCCCTTTTGATATTTAGGCCATTCCTCTCTTCTTCCTTGGAGTCTGGAGTCTGGAGTCTGGAGACGAATGGCTTCTGTTCCCAAGCCAATGCTTCATGGTAGGAGGCTCTTTGAGCTGCTGGAAGAGCAACAAGAGCCTTTTCTTCTGGATGTCTACCTCTTGGAGCATGGGTACTCGGATAGAGCAATGAATCCCAGTGCTGCTGCATTCATGTGCTGGCATGGCGGTGCTTGTAGGCGGCTGAGAAGGTTCAGCACCCATGGCTGCAGGAGGAAGAGAACCGGACTTCTGAGGTGTCTGCTGAACAAAGTTGTCTACGGCAAGGTGATCAGGAAAGCTTGGAGGTGGGATGGTGGAGCTATTGGCATCGGAAGATGGAATGTCTTGAGATCGTTCTTCGAGATGAAGGGCAAGAACAATGCTGTGGAGTTCCGCCGGCTGTCTTGTTCCTGTGGCACCGACGAAGGTGATCCGGACAGAGAGGAGCAGTGGAGAGCTATGGGCGGCTCCGATCAGCGCAGCCCTGTGTCAGTCCTCGAGCTGCATTCTGATGAAGGTTGTTTCTCCTCCTCTTTGCACGCAGCATTGATCTTTGTCTGTCTTGTCTGATTACTTCCATGTGGATTTTAGGTACATTTGTCTCTTTTGTTTCACCGAATGATATGCTTCTCCCTTGTGTTCTTCGTTTGCAGTTGAGGAAGAGGTGCCATCAACCTCAGGTTTTGATTCACCCAAGGACACAAAGGAAGCTCCATGGATCGGCTTGGAAGAGCACCCCAACACAAGGACCCAGTTCCTTCACCCACACCGTTTTCTGTCAGACTGGCTGAAGGAGGTAGAAGGAAGGCTCTCAAAATCTCACGAATGCCCAAGTCCAGAGAGGAGTGGGAAGATCACCGAGGAGGGGATGATGATCCTGTCACGGGAGAGTCGAGGATGTGCTTTGGCCAATATATCCCAGTTGATAGATGTCGATTTCTCCGAGTCCAGGAAAGAATGGAGCCACTTTCGGCATGAGATAGGAGAGGTTGGGGCTGAGATCGAACAGATCATCTTTGAGGAGATCAGCGAAGAAGCTGTGCTCGATGTTCTTCATCGTCACTCCACCTTGGAAAGATGTTGATTCTATTCATCAGCGCCATGTGAAATTTACTCGCTTACAGTAGCAAATCTCTGAACATAATGCACGCCACAGGAAGACACAAATCCTTGCTTCATCAGCTGCTCGCTTGCAGTCTACTGGATTGCTTCAGAACCAATGATGGATTACTAGTCTATTGTAATACCTGTTTAAGGTTATTGTATGCTGAGTCTAAGAAGAATAAGTGTCATGTACTTTTGGTTACGATTGAAGATTTATGCGATAAGCATCAGAAAAACTTGGTGGTGTTACAGTTCATCACAAGCATGTCAGAATGTGATGGCAATTCAAGGCGTAATTGGCGGTATTAAGGACCACATAATGGAATTTAAGTGACTCGAAATTGCAGAATGATTTGATGTGCAATTCGCATTTCGTCCAGCATGTAGAGAAGAGAGAGAGAGAGAGAGAGAGAGGGGTTGCTGATGAGTGATGCTTAGGGCAGAGGATGGCAGAGACATGGGAGTTTCCACTCGAGAGAGCCATGTTGTACTGCTGCTGCTGCAATGGCTGGTAGGTGGAACAGAGTTATTTGGAGGTGCGATGGTCCAGCGTAACAGAGTTATTTGGACATGTCATGGTCCACGGTTCTATCAAACCATGTGCATATTAATTACAGACGATCGAAGAAGGATGCACGATGATGTTGATCCCTTAGACCAGTCTAAAATACATGATTAAAGCGATTGTGTTGCCGCTGTTGTGCCACGGAAGAGTTCCCTATGATTCGAGCTTGTGAAATCTGCGCCCTCGACTCTCGAATCTCATCTCATCTCGTCTCCATTTCCAGTTCGGTGAAAGTGAAAAGCCATCAGACTTCTTTGCTTACTGGCTTTCAAGATTCAGTCAGGTACACGAGACATTAGTATTCTACATGATGTTGGCCTGAGTTATTGTTTTCCGGTGGATGTTACGGAGGAGGAAGAGAGACATGGGTGTTCTGCAAGATCTTACCATGGGCTATTTGTTTCTTGTGGCGAAGAAGAAGACATCTTTGGATGAGAGAAGTCGGAACAAAACCAGAAGGTACACCTGAGGATTCATTCTGATACATACATGAGACATCAGAATTCTGCAACATCTTAGCCTCTGAGCCATTGACATCTTTTCAACTCAAACTCTAAAATGCTGCACCAAACTTCATGGATCAAAGTTCATGCATGCAGTGAGGAACAAATGACTGTTGTTGGGGAATACAATAATAGCATCAGGAATTATAGTTTGTGCACTTGTGAAGAACAAATGACTCTTCTTTATTTTTTATAGAGGGAAGGCGACATATGGGGCCTTCCTATTTGTCTGTTCCTTTGGATGTGTGTGCTTCCATATATGTATACAAAGCATCAGTCTCAGAAGACAGTTGAGGTGGTAGCCCAACACAAACTAATAGACAAAATGTCATTAGTGCATCTTATAATTTGGTATCCACTCAGAATCCAAGAAACTAAATTAACACACCAAATCACACTTTAGAAACTAAAACAAGTGAAGATTTGACTTGGACCAGAAAAAAACTATTCAAGGCATTCATTTGTAGCCAACAAAGAAAGAAAACCACATTTCTTCCTTTTTGTTCTTTGGATTGCACTTCATCAAATATTTACTCATACAGTTAGTTCTTCATCAAATATCCATTTGTAAAAATATCATTGTAATCTCACATGATCACAACTCCTTGAAGATGTAATTGTTGCCTGTATTTTGTATCAAGAAAAAGACTAGTGTTGCAAGGGATCAAAAGATGTAATTCTTCCCCTTGGAGGTGGCAAGAACCCTTTTTTGCTCCTTCAACCTCAGTATGGCACCCTCCCTGACCCCAGAGCTGCTCCTGCAAGACAACCCAAGCCCAAACCTCTCGAGCACAGCCCAAACATCTCTCTTCCTCTCCGTGGCTGCCGTCCCCTGTTTCCTGCTCCTGGTGCACTCCCTGTAGGCTGCAAGGAAGGGGTCTTCCCCCTCCTCCTTCTTCGTCAGAACCTGTCGCGGAGGCGGCTGGAAAGCGCAGGGCGGAAGAGGCACGTATATGCCGTGCACCGACAGCTTCGGGCTATCGGATTGGCACGGCGGCGGCGGCAGCCTGACATGTTCTTGTGCAGAGCTCTCCTCTGCATGTGGAGTGATCTTGGAGATCCCCGGCTGGTTCTCCCACGAGAAGGGGATGTTCACCAGGGAGTGGGACTTGTGGAGGCTCATGGTCTTCTTGCTCCGGTGTTGGGTTACAGGAGGAGAAGTGGTGCACTTATAGAGGAGCTTTTCATGCACTATTTTCTCTACCGGTCTCTATGGCTTTGAGAATTCGACAATGGAAAGCATGAGGGAGAGAAGATGGAGGAGGAATTTGTTCGGCACTGAAAGTGAGATGGAAGACCGCACATATAGTGTAAGTCTTCGTTTGTGGATTGCTTTGTCCGGTGGAAATGTGACTCCTGACAAGCCAAGGGAAGACTTGATCGAGAGAAGGTTGAATGGAGGGTTTGACCGAGTCTCTGAGAATAATAGTAGAATGTGTCTCAATTAAAATGCATTAATCTTCTGTTGATTAATGGGAAGAACGCGGTGAAGTGAATGCTGCATCCGTGCATCCGCCAGTTGTTTGTGATCATAAATGCTGAACAAAAAGAGAGCCAAATTACTTCATCTGATTCATGCTCACAGGTCGAACAAAAGTACAGAGCATTAAACATCGTTGGTGCTGCAGAGATGTGTGTCAGCAGCCAAACTCGGATTAGCCATGGAAACAAACAAACTTCTCCGGCAACTATTTTAATGGAGGACGGCAAGTGCAGCATTAATAGATTACAACCTGATGCAATCCAGTCAAGCAAGCATGTTCATATAGATTTGCTCAAGAAACTATAGAGAAATAAGGAGATCAACATCGACTAGAAGAAGTGGAAATTGATCTGTGATCAAGACAAATAACCGTGTCAAAGTATTGAACTTTCTTAATGAGTTGTGATGTTGGTTTCCACAGCAGCCTATCTGGAAGTCTAACTCAAGCAATTTCCTTAACAATCTCATGTGGAATCTCATCTTTTCCTCACCAAAATAATTTATGTGATAAATTAATGACACATCAATTTTCTCATCTTGGGAATTTGATCAATACGTGAAGGCCTAATTAGTCAACTAAGTCAGCTAATTTTGTCTGGCCTGATGAAGACAAAAAGTGTTTAGGATTCTAAATCTATTAGCGCGTTATCTTTGAAATTAGATTTATATATATTTTAGTCAATGTGATTTTGGTCATAGACAACCTAAACTCTTATGGTTTACTCGTATCTAAAATAACTTATATATTTTAAAAAATATAACATATAAGTCTATCCCATCAAATTTGAGTTAACATGTGTTAGAGTCTCTTTGTTTGGCAAGCCGACTGACAATAAATTATTAATATAATAATATATATAATTAAAATTTTAAAAAGAACTAAGGTCTATTTTAGCTTATGTGATTTTGATCATAGACCAATTAAACCCTTATAGTGTACTTATATCTAAATAACTCATACATTTTCAAAAACGTAGTATGTAAGTCTATCTCATCAAGTGTAAGTTAACAAACATTAGAGTTTGTTTATATGTCATGCTAATTCATAATAAAATTATTAATATAATAACATATATAATTTAAGTTTAAAAAAGTATTAAGATCTATCTTGTCGAGGAAGAGGAAGCGACGAAGGTTATAACGATGGACGAACGTAAAGAGATAGATATAGGAGAGGTCGAAGATGAATGTGAGGAAAAGTTAGATCACCACGTCATAGGCATAGCAGGTGGGGGCACAAGAGAAGACGAAGTGGAAGGCGGTGGAGACGAAGACGCCCAGGAGGAGAAAGATGAATTAGGAGATCACTATGTGCTTAGTGTCGAACTGGTCAACGCACATCCACCTAAGATAGGATCGGAAACTCCTAAGCTAGTTGTTAGTGCGGGAGAGGATGCATGTGTACGACGCCTGCTAGGCAACAGCGGCTCGATGCTGCTACTAGTGGTCGCTTTCAAGATAATGCATCCTCTTGTCATTGATGATGATCTTGGTTTTTTTTTAAACTTAAATTACATGTATCATTATATTAATAGTTTATTGTGAGTCAACATATCACTTAAGTAAATTTTAACATCTGTTAACTCAAACTTAACGAGAGGGACTTATATGCTATATTTTTAAAAATATAGGGGTTATTATAGACATGAATAAACCATAAGGATTTAAGTAGTTCAAGGCCAAGACTACATGGGCTAAAATAGATCTTAACTTTTTTTTAAAATTTAAATCATATATGTTATTATATTAATTATTTATTATGAGTTGGCATACCATGCAAGTACGCTCTAACGTCTTTTAACTCAAACTTGATAGAAGGAACTAATATGCTATGTTTTTTAAAATATAAATGTTATTTTATATACGATCAAATCAAGATCAAAATGAAAAGGATTAAAATGGATCTTAATCTTAAAATATTTAAATAAAACTATATATATATATATATATATAAAAGAGATTTCTATGGTTAAATCTTAGGAGAAAAACCTCATGCAATCGTAAACCCTAACGTTGAGGTGGTTTCAACTGCCACCTGAACCCTCGTTGCCATCCCCATCACTGAGCCCAACATTGCAGGCCATGGAAGGTTTTCCCAGCCCAACTAAGAGATGCCGATTCAACCAATAATAGATGGACACCTGTCGAATAGAATCTAGGGTTACGTTTTGCCTATATAAAGGACGAGATCTACGCCACTGCAACCAAATCGATCGGTCTGCGCCTTTGGTGAGCGCAGGCGCCGTCGTTTTCACTTCTTCAATATGCAATGCTTCTTCAGAAATTTCTTCGCTTTTTGTCTTTGGATTACTTCTACGGGAGTCGTTGCCTTGTCAGTCCGCTCATCGCTTCTGAGATCGATGGCGCCGGCTTGTCCTTCGGCTCCCATATGGATCGGAGGCGTTTAAAGCCCTAAACTCACTGATCAAGATTGGTTTTTGGGTTACGCCCGCCTCTAAATTTTTATGTCTCTATATGATTTCCTTTTCTTCTTCTCCTTCACGAATTATCGCCGTGATTATAGATCTCATTGTTTCCCCAAAGATTGTCGATAAAGATCGTTTCTTTGGTTGCTCTCGCCAATGAATTTTTAGGGATTTTGTTTTATTTTTTTCTTCAAGAACTAGTATGGCCGTGACTATCGATTTCGTTTCGTGATTCTAATATATCTTTTATTCGGGGATCTCTATAGGATAATGTAGTTGACGTGAAAGGAAGATCCTTGGGGAATTATATGATCGAGATAGGAGTCCTTCATTACTGTGGTAATTTGGTACTCTGATTCTTGGTGCTGTGATTATAAAAAATTCCTCGTTCTGAATGCTGTAGAATCGGCATGACAGACTCTTCTAACACCCATAGAATATGAGCACCTCTCTGCCTTCTATCTTTCCGTATATATCAGACATTGTTTGCTCAGAATTTATCGATAAAGATCGGTTCTTGGGTTACGCTCGCCAATAATTTTATTCGGATTTTATTTGATATTTTTAATTACTGGTATGGCCGTGCTTATAGAATCCATTTCTTGATTCTAAGTATGTCTTTGACATGGGGATCCATAGAGGATGTGGTAGTTGTCATAAAAGGAAGATCTTTGATGAGTTATATGGTTTAGGTGGGAGTTTTGATATCTGTTGTATTTCGGTGTGCAGATTCTTGGTGCTGTGATTATAAAAAAATTCCTCGTTCTGAATGCTGTAGAATCGGCATGACAGACTCTTCTAACACCCATAGAATATGAGCACCACTATCTATGCCTTCTGGCTTTCTTCCGCTATCAGTCATTGTAGTGTTTGATTTCGTTGTTTTTGTTTTGTTTGATTAGATTTCTTGTTGGGAGTTTGATTTTTCTTACTGAGACAATATAGCAGATATTTCAGCAAAATAATATTTGCTTGGGAGAAAATAACTGTGCTGAATGCATTTCAATCGTTCTAGTTTTTTGAGGAAGAACACACTAAAAACAAGGATGTTTCAGATTCATCTAATGTCATCTGTTGGAAACAAAGAGAAACAGTGTGCATAGATAAGATTAATCAACATTTACTACTGCATGTCTAACAAATGATTTTATATTGTGAATTTTTCTTGGGTATTTACAGATTTCTGCAACTGCTACCTGCAGCAATAGAGCGTATCATGCTTTTAGAGTGAAAAATGCTCCTTGTAGAACATTGAGGTTAGCCAGGACTGGTGATGGCAGATGCTGCTATCTGATGTTCTCATGTCTTTCCTTGAATGCTTGAAGAGTTTTGTTTGGCACTGTGCATCATTTGGAGAAATATTTGCTCTCTGGCAAGGTGACATTGCACAGATTGGTGTCGGGAAGTTGCAAAGGGAAAGAAATGTTTCTTTAGATAACAAGAGAGGTCAATAACTTGTTTCTGTATTACTTAGATTTTCTAGTCAATCAGCTACACATTCAACAGTGTGTTGCATGTTTTTTTGACAGTATTTCACTAATATGTACATTATTGGTCATGTTGATAAATGATGTTCCACAAACACAATTTGATATTTTGTTTGGTGGACTGTGATGGAGACTGAAACAATAAAATTAGGTAAATAAAATTGCCTGGGTTAGTGTCTGAACCCCTACATCAATTCTCTAAAAAAAATCTCTTTTTGAGTTTTTTTCAGGAAGTATTTTACATTTTTAAAATTCTCAAGCAATTCTTTTTCTTCTCTAATTTTTTCTGAATATTCTTTTTTTACTTTTTCTTATAACATAGTATGAAATTATTTTGTTATAAGTTTTTTACATTGTGTTATAATATTTTTGATAATATTAAAGTAATACTGTAACATAGTAATTTTGTTTTCAACAATACTAGGAAATACTATAATATTGTTATATTGTTTTTATTTTTGTGATGTCCTTGAAAACACTAATAGGAAATTCATGAGTGATTAGGGGTATTTTAGATATTAGGAAAAGAGAGATTCTACAATTGGATGGGGAAAAAAAAATCTCCCAGAGATTGCATGATATGCTGTAAGCTTTTTTTTTCCCTGTTCAAGTTTAATGATGCTTTGGCTTATATGGGGAGGATGCAGAAGAACATTGATCAAATTTGCATATTTCCAGGATATTAATATGTTTAACCTCACATTATCAATGAGGTCCAAAGCCTGAATAAGGAAAAAAATGCACTTAAAACACAAGTATAATGTGACAATAGTATCTGAAAGAAAGCAAAAAGAAGAGAATTTTCACTTTGGTGAACATCTCATCTTCCTGTAATAGTTGTGTTGGAGCTGTTACATCTTCTTACTTGGGAATTCACATGGTAGTGATTCACCCAAGTTTATTTTACTCTCTAACATCA